CATGAAATAAAATTATCTCCATCAATCTCAAAAATTATTTGTTAGTAATTTTATCTTCCCTTATATTATATAATTTTATTAAAATACTCTGTAGTTTCTTTTTTTCACAAATCCTCAAAACGATGTTGTTTTAAGTTACACGAGATAGCTTTATCTCAATTTTAACATTTAAATAATTTTTTTATAAACTTTATCCAAAGATAAAATAGTTTTAATTTTTGAAAAAAAATTAAAAAAAGTAAATAATAAAAAATCTTTTTTAAAAAATTTCATCCAAAAGAATCTAAAAATGCCCCCGTGTGTCATAACTAAATCCCATTGTTTAATTTTCGCACGTCAATTATTGAGTATCATTATCTTGAATATCTATATTGATTATGTATATAACTTTCTTCTTATTTTAATTGTTTTCGATTTATATTTTTTAAAATTTTACTTGAATTAAAAAATATTCATGGAATGTAGGAATACCACTGCTGATGATAAAACTGCATTGAAACACATGAAATTCGAAGAAAAAATATCCCCCATTTATCACAAACAACACTTTTTTTTTTATATAATTAAAAATTGAAAACATAATATAATACAACTTATCCAAATCCCTTATCATTATATCAATTCTAGTGGCTTTAAACGACATTTGATTTTATATAATAATATATTAATTTCTTAAAAAAAAGAATCACATCATATATCTTGATATTAATTATAATTAAAGATATTAACTACAAATGATTATCTAAACAAGAAACTGAATATATATTTCAAATGTAGATTCCATCTTTAACAAATTTCAAATTAAAAACAAGAGTAAAACGCATAATGAAAAGTAACAAAATATTTATTCTGGATTAGTACATATATAATATGATTTGAAAATACTTAAACAAAATTACAGTTTCAAAATTAATTCATCCAACAGGAATTTGTTTACAATCAATCAAATGTCAATTTACAAAAAGGAAAAAAGAAAAAAAGAAAAAAAGGAGTAATCTACTAATCTTAGAACATAATTTCAGAAACCACCAGGTCATGACAATGCCTGTAATCATGAAACCAAATATATGTAGAGCTTTTTCTGAGTTGATGATGACGAACGAGAACTCAACGATGATGACTTGATATTGAATTCGGTGAGCGAGTTTTGATTACCTTTTGCTTCCATCTGCTTCTTCTGCTTGATCAGCTTCTTGATGTTGAGCATGTTTTTAAGTTTTTGCTTCATGGAGGGTTTCTCTTCCTTCCGCCCAAAGGTACTAAACGGACAACGGGTAACTAGGTATTTCTGCCTATAGTGGGCAAATACCTCATAACTGATAATTTCATTCGTTAAAGGATGAACCCTATCAGCCTTCTCTTGCCTCATCATTCTTAATTAGATTTCTTGAACTAATATCTCTCGCTTCCACAGCTTTCTTGAACTGATCGAAGTGGAATTGGTATTTGTTGTTCTAGCCTGTATTCATATCATACCATACCATACATACACGTCCGAAATATTATTTAGAGTGGGTTAAGAATTTGAAGAGCTCTAGTTCAAATTAGTGATAACTGATAAGACTAATTTTATGCATCATGTGATCATAACTGATAACTGATAAGACTAAAAATTAATGAGATATATTACCTGTTCTCTCCACTGGACAGTGATGTCGAGTCAATCTTGGATGTAAATGCTTTGTACTGAAGATATTTTTGAGGTTGGAGATCGCTGTAGTAGAATGAAGTGTCTGTACAGTAATAACATATATGAGAGAGAATAAGTGTACATATGTAAAGTTCAACTTTTATTTATAGAGTTTACAAGTTTACAATAGTTGTTCTCGTACTAGGATTAGCATTAATTGAGATCTATTTCTTTTGATTTCCTCTATCCGTCGCCGATTATTTTGATCTTAGAAAATCTCGGCGAGATATCTGTTAATCCCTAATCCTCTATTTTATTGTTTTGTTTTATTTATATAAAAAAATAGTAAATCTATTATATATCCTGTACTAGCTAGCTGCATTAGTGTAGTCTATTTTTTAAAATAAGAAAGAAAATGTGTCAAAGATATATATAAACGAAAAAAAATAGATAAATAAACTTGAATAAAATCTTCAGCCCAAAGTTTTTAACAGATTAGTTTCTATTTGCTAATAAATCATTATATGCCCAATCGAAAAAGTAAATAGTTTTTGATGAGGCAATTGAAACTTTTAAATAATTCTTTAAAATCTTATAAATCTATATTGCTCTTTAAAATTTTGTAAATTCTATTAAAATCCTTTAAAATCCAATCTTATAAAATTTTGATTGTAAAAAAAGTCTTTAAAATCACTACAATTCTTTTTTTGAAGGTTACAAGGAATTGAACACAACACCCTACACTACACACACTCCTAACACACACAGGTGCAAATCACTACAATTCTATATAGTCTTTAAATTTTATAAGAAATTTATCTCAAAAAAATATTTCAAAATTATAATCCAATACACCCTCTAAGTTTGTATATAAATCATAAATCTTTATCAAAATACTCAAAATTTTAGGGGACTTATTCTCTTATTTTTTATATTTTTATTTAGGATTTATATTTCTTATATTGTAGGAGATAATTTATCTCCTACACATATATAAAAGTGTGTAGGATCTATTTTTTTTTCCTCTTTTCTCCTCACATACTTTTATGTGTGTAAGAGGTAATTTATCTCCTATGAGATAATTTATCTCCTACGAAATAATTTATCTCTTACAATACATAAACATTAATCTTTTTTTTATTTTTGGTGAAAAGTCTCTTAATTTATTCTCTACAGAGAACCACGGATATTATTTTTAACTTTTCTTTTTCAAAATTTTAAATATAAATTCTTTTAAATTCAAAATAGATTTTCAAATAAGGGATATATTATTTTATCTATCTTTTTTTTCATGTCCACCTTACCTACCACTTTCTAATACCGTTAGATCAGAATTTCAACTAACCTTTATCATTTCTCTCTTCTCTTAAGATTCTGATATAACGGTGTTGGAGAGTGATAATTAGGGTAGGTATGAAAAAAAAGATAGGCAGAATAACCTACACCTTCAAACAAAATCTTAAATTATAAAATTTAAGTTAATCTTATTTAACAAAAATTTGAATAAATATTATTTATATATTATCATAAAGAAAATATCATAACTTCTGAACGAATGCAAAGTAATATATGTCCATTGATATATACGAAAAAAAGAGAAAATATATATCATGTATAAAATTATAATATCGGTCAATATTTTTTAATCAGTATATTATAAGTATTCAAATATCAAACTACTATATTTAATTGTAATAAATCAACTTTCATAAATATAAAGACCATAATATTGTGTTTGATTTATATGGATTTATATTTGATTTATTTGAACTTTCATATTGTTCTAGTTTAATTGTTGCATAAAAGGTGTAAACACATGTTTAATTTACATGGATATTGCTTTTTATACAAATTTAAAATGCATGTTTCACCTAATTTGTAAGGCAAACATTAAATATGGATATTTACAATTTTATTTATAAATAATAAAAACTTATATATAACTTTATTTGTAAATAACAGAAATTTATATCTTAAAAAGTTCATATCTGTTTTATATATTTTGAACTTATATAATAGTTTATGGTCTTGTTTTTAACTAGAAGTATTATTTGACATTTCATTTATAACTTATTATGTTGATAAAAAAATATTTTTGACATTTTATATAAGGATTTTTTTTGTAGTGAATGCAAATAAATTATCTACATCGAGTACAAAATGACATCATTTTGGATGAAAATTAAGATATTTTTGTAATTATAATTTATTCCAAAATTATAATAGTCTTTATAATTATAATTTTTTAATCTTTCAACCCAAAATAATTTTATTTTGAAAATAAATATAAATACCTTATTTTTGATCACTGTAGCCTTTAATCAATAATTAATTATCAAATTGACCCTACTTATAAACTATTCCAAAAATCTAACATTTTAAAAAAAATATAACATCAATCTATCCATGTTTGACTGTTAACCCCTAAGATATCCAGGTATCCCCTTCCCTACCCGGGTATATTTCGTGAAATATAATTGTTCTTATGCATTTTGAGTTTTTACCCAAGTAATGCACTCGGATACCCGGGTACAGAGTTATTTACCTAGGTGACCAGTTACCCGAGTATTTGTCGGCCAGAAACTCCAATATCAGTGGGTTTCAGCCATTGTTATGAGTTATATGTTTTTTTACCCCAAATCTCTCCCCTTGTCATCTCTATTCCCAGCCATCATACATGTATTTCATCCCATTATCTCAAAATGCCTAATCTTGGAAAGACATTAGCATTATACAAAATTTTGTACTTTGTTATGTAATGTGTTGCGTTTGTGGACAACCATGTATTGTTGTGTAATGAACCATGTTTCATATTTTGGTAATTTGTTTCATGTTGTGTCAAATCTTACGTCCTATAATGAACTTCGTTTCATTTCGTATTAAATAATCCCACGTGTGTATCCTAAACCCAATTACCCCCTCCCCGAGTCATATTGTGTTATGGGATAAGATTACAAGGAGCCATGTAACCAAGAAATGGGTGGACCAGATGTTGAGGTTGCAGAACAAACTGGTCTACCTGGGTAACTTGTAATGGTTTACCCGAGTAGGTTGTACCCGGGTAAACCATTACAAGTTACCCGGGTAGACTAGTTTGGTTTGCAACCCCAGCAGCTAGTCCACGCATTTTTTTGTCAAGATTGGTGCTTGTTGTCTGTAGACAACATACAATATGACTTGGGGATGGATTGATTGGGTAGATATGGGATGCAGGTAGGACGAAGTGCGCTAATCTACACATGAATTTAGTTGGACTTCACAAATCTTGCATTTTAGTAAAAGATTTCCTCATTCTTAAGTACATATACAAAATACAATAACAGTGCAAAATAATCAATCTGAAATATGTATTTCATTCAAAAGGTGGACATCCAAGTACAAAAGGTGCATATCCATGAAACAACCCAATACATCCAAAAATGGGCTGAATACATCCTGACTAACCCAAAATACATCCAAAAAAGTAAACCCTACTGGCTGGAATCCAATTGTGTCTCCTCCCTATCATCATCGTCCTCCTCATCCTCATCGTCATCCTCAACAACAGCATCAGCCTCCTCACCAGTGTGGGCACCCTGTCTGTAGCCAGCCTCCATGCGTGTCACCCTGCTGTCAATTTGGGTCCATCACTTGCTTGTGCTCTGTCTAAAGACCCTCAACTCACTGGTCAAGGAGTCAAGGCCACATGTCAGGCTATACATGGATGTCATGACATGGTCAAGTGTCCATCCACCCTCAAGAGCTGTCCATCCACCCTCAAGAGATGGAGGAGTTGGTGGTCGTCGGATGCGGGTAGGACGTGCAGGTGCATCATCAGCAACAGCAGTGCCATCATCATCGTCATCGTCATCAAGGCCTGTATCAACATCATGAACATTAAATATTAAAATTAAGTTACGTAAAAAATACACCTTAATGCAAAATAACCCAAAATAAATCACCAGCAGGTGCATCCTCCATCTCAGCATCATGGTGAAGGGGGATCTCAGGTGGTTCAAGTGCCCTCTTCCAGTACCACACACTCGCTCGGCTCTCCAGGATCCCACACTACTTCAGGAGACGCTCACCAAACATGGCATTCCATCATGTGGCTGTCTTCGTTTAGTTTCCATAGGCACACCAAACCTGTGCAAAATCTTCTACACCAGGAATGCAAAAGGAAATTCAGCCTTCCTAGACTTGGTTGCCTTTCACATCAGGATGCATATGTAGTGCCTCCAGTTCCCCTGAATATGGTGAAGGAGGGCCCACAAGATCACAAAAGTCACCTTCGAGTGATTATGACCACGCTGGAAAGTAATGTCTGTGACCACATAAAGAAGAATGCGGGCAGACACCAACAAATTGCTCACAGGATAATGACCAAATTGTCAGGCCTCAACATCTGCTCTCCTGGTCTCTGCAACAATGGCCTCCGATCATAACCACTAAATATAAGATAGGAGTCACCGTCATATAGTGCTGCATCTGTGAGACCATCAAACTCAAACCCCAGTAGCTATGTCCAGATAGGAGCAGTAAGGATAATATCAATCCGCGGACACGGAAAGTCAGCTCGCCATGCACATAGTTGAGGTTCTGGTAGAATGCTCTCACCATAACCTCCGAATACGGGCACCTCATCTTCGCAAGCACCGGCAAATGTGTCTGCTCAATAAGTGGCACAATGTCGAACCGCTCCAAGTTGAAGAAGGCCAAATCCAGTGATTTCGGCTCACAAATCTTGCGGCTCATGAAGGACTTCACAAACCTCTCGTGTGCATCACTATCATCCTCAAATAAATATCCGAACGGCAAGTCTGGAGCTTGATGCATAGCAGCCTGGGGCTGAGAGGATGACGTCCCATCATGTCGGCGCTTGGTCCTCCTCTCGGTATCCCCCGCTCTCTTCTTTGAAATGCGTCTATCAACCATGCAGTCATACTATGAAACTAAAAAATAAAATGCAAAATCAGAAATCAGAATCAAAACGGTTAGGGTTACGACTTTTAAAAATTAAACGGTCAGAATGCAATGTTTAACCACGCAAACTAAAAAAATGCAATAATTTTTCACTTCAATGTGACAAACATATCAAAATCAGAATGCATTGTTAAAAAGGAAAAATATGTACCTTTAATGGAATTAAATCGGTAGAAGGAAACAATAATGGTGCGCGAAGGATGATCTGAAACAGGAAGATTGATAGCGAGATTTGGTGAGGGAATCGATGATGAGGCACTTCCAGCAGCTCTACCTAGTTCCCCTTTGTGGATTTTCCAAATTGGGGCTGCTGGGTTATTTAAAAATCCTACCCGGCAACATTTACTCGGGTAGCCCCCTCCCTACCTATAACGTCCGGCCGCTTCAAGAATCAATGACTATCCCACATAATAACACGAGACTTTTCAATGTGTTTTTTTCTCACTCACACACTTCCTGAAAAAACTTCCCAGGATTACTGCAAGTCAAGCACACTTAACTATGGAGTTCTTCCTTTCTGGGTTACCGAAAAGTAGATGCATCTTGTTAGTATAGGTAGTACAAATTAATTCTTATAAGCTATCCCAAACTATGCAGTCTCATACCAGCACAGTCTTTGGAATCCCTCTCTTTCGGGTATCGATTCGATTCATTCATGTAAACCCCCGCTGGAAGCCTGTAAAGAGTCGTTTCTTGTCCATGGCCTTTCGCACCGACGATCACTCCCCGCCCTCGTCAGCGCCCAGGATGTTATATGCCCACCAGCTTCCACTGGTTCGTCCTCGAACCAGACCATACTAGAAGAGAGGCTTGCTCTCATACCACTTAGATTATCTAATTTGATTTCAAACTTTGCCAATGACATCATTAAATAATGTCTCACAATAATATTTTATGGTACCGGGTATAATTTGGCTAATTATCGTTTTACCCCTAAACTCCTACTAACTGCACTTTTACTCAAAAGTGACTCTAATTCTCTTAATTAGATATCTTACCTGATTCAACCCACTAATACAAGATTAATTGCCTAATTACATGCAATTAATTAAATTTCATGGTAAGGGATATTATATTACCCGGGTAAATAATTCAAGCCATTTTCCAGATTTTGAACAATACCCGGATATCCCACCTAACTTCCCGGGTAGAGTGAAATTTTTAAATTATACCCGGGTAACCGCCTATGTACCCGGGTATTTTAGGTTGTGCACAATAAAACAAGGATAGATGGATGATATATTTTGATTTAAGGACGAATTAGTAATTAATTATTAATTAAAGACTATAGTGATAAAAAAAAACTAACTTATGTGTATCATTTACATAATAAGTATTACATAATAAAAGAACATTTTAGACATTCAGGGGAAAGCGAACCACAATAGATAATTTAAAATCAAATAACTAAATGACACATATGTAGCGGTTAAAGTGGAGCATATTTTTAGGACCGCCGAAACAGGTAATCCTTTACAAATAGTAGGAAAAATTATGACATTAATCATAAATGGGAGAGTAGAACAAATGTTGCTTTTTACCAATTTTAATAAGTGATTTACTCAAATAGAGATAAAGATATCTTCCTGGTGAAATTTTCCCTTGCATAAATCCGAATTAATTTAAGTAATGAGGAAAGAAAGCAATAGAAAAGTACCTTATCCAAAAGCTATTAGTAAGACCCCGAAGACAAAACATCAATCTTCCTCTAAAACAAATCTAAAAAGTAGGGAGCAGTTAAAATTTCCAGGTGAGGAAACGAATTTCAGCGTACAAGATTAATTCTATATACTTTCATTCCTTCAACTGTTTATCTCAACTTCTGAATAGTATTTTAGTGATACATACAGAACATATGGTGCCAACATTTGACAGAGATTACAGAGCAACTGCACGTTAAGAGGAGCATTTTCATTCCTTATTTAGTGTTAAACCATATGATCTAGAGGTCTTTAAACTACATAATTTATATGACCAAGCTGAGGGATTGGTGGACGTATGAATAGGTGAGAAAATTGTATCATCTTTAAAATTTTCAATATGGAAAACTTCCGGTCATTTGGATATGGTCAAGGGTCCTTTTGAGCCCATACTTAAGCGTTGCCTTGTTACCCGATCTGAATCCATTTCCATAAGCTGATGAAGTATCTGATTCAATTTGATGTTTAAAAAACTCACCAAGTTTCTTCTCAAAATCAGATCGTTTACCCTTCTTTGATGAAGCAGAAGAAGAGGAAGGCAATGATGAGGGTACACCATCATTCCCAGATCCAGAATAAAGCTCTGAATCTAACCACATATGAGCCAAGACTTGGCAGATTCCTTCTTCAACTTCTGGACTCAGGTTGGGATAACCTGTCCAAAAACACATAAATTTCGTCCAACTTAGCACCATGAAAGAAAAATATAAATTTTCTGCATGATATTGATCACAGAACAGATACCTTTAAGCCTGAGCCATGCATGCATCATCTCATGGGCTAGGATTGATCCTGTCAACAACCTATATATAAACATAAAGTTCTTGAATTATATACTGTGAATGTCACATGAAAGCACTGTGGATTTTGAAAGTAGATGGCATAAGAAGGACACCTAGGAAGGCCATACAAAACAAGAATGGCTGTCACTTCGCAATGGCGGATCAGCCTGTAAGGCTCAGTTATCATGTCCATGACTCGGTAGCCTGCCCCTATCCTTGGTCTCCTTAAAATCTAGCATTACATGAAATATATAAAACCACTATTTGATACACAAATTTTTTATTATCAGAATCAAAAGCATGTGAAGACTCAAATTTGCAAGCAAAAAAATCCCTACAGTGGTGACAGTTTGCTCTTCTGACAAGCAGAGTCCTCTAGTTTCAGGTAAGTGGTGATGACCCTACATTTATTAGTTAAAAACAAAAGAACAACTCCAAGTCAGGACAATAGAAAGACGGTCTAAGAAAGAGAAGAAACAAGCACATCTCATGAATGAAAGTTAACACATTAACACTTAGTCACTTGCATTCTTTTCTCCCTCCATGGCCTCATTCAGTGCTTGTCTCTCAACCAAAAGCATAGGAATTGGCTGCTCCACTTTCATATTTAAACCTTCATAAAATTCTTGTATTTCAATGTACAAAGGTTGGCATTCATGAGTATCCATAATTGCTGAGTCTAGACACTCTAGACATAGCTTTCGACCATCATCAAGCAAAAGATATTTTGTATCCCGTGGCTGCACTGATTGGAAAGTTAAATATTAGATAATGGAAAGGTACAGACAAAAACAGAAGGGGGTGAGGGGAGGAATGGCATTGGCTCCTAATTGGTAATAACAGGATGAAAAGTTTTGGGAGCTGATATAACTGACCTCCATTCTTTCGCAGCTACAACAACGAGGAGTACCATCAAGCTCATGCGATGGACAGTATTTTTGTAGCCAGAAAGGATGAGCTCTATACTCAATGAGGCCAGCTGAATTAGTTGGGATCTGCAACAACAAAAATCAACAATTCTAGTTCAGTGTACAGCATATATTATTTGCAATTAAAAAAAGGGGCAGACTTAGCTAAATTCTTTTATACAAGAGTCACCATATTTTCACCACAATGGCTTAAGGTGTTTCACTTACACCCTTGTGATTTCATTTTTTGTTGCACTCATACCCCTAATGGTTGAAGGCATTGGAAGAAAAGTAACTCTATTCATAAAACATCGCTAGCAAAACTTATTCAATCAACATTTCAAATATTTACAAATAAGTTAAGAGGCACACGTTAACTGTAGTAATTTAGAAGGAATTTTTTTTGACATAGATTAGAGACATTTCAAAAGTCTTATATGCTTATATATACATTGTAGTGCAATTTATAAAGTGCGTCAATATTGAAAGAAACCTTGGATAGGAAACCGGGACGACAAAATTGACTAATAGAAAGTGACAAACAATTGCTAAGATACTTACAAAGTTCTTGCAAACATCACATCTTACGTGATGCTTCTCCCTGTAGCAGGATTTATGGTAAGGGCGATTTTCAAACATGGAAAACTGTGAAGGAAGGAACAAAGATTCAAACATTATTTACAATCATACTGAGATTGACCAAAAAAAAAACAGAGACCAAAGAGAGAGAGAGAGAAATAATTTGAAGACTTTCATTTATGAATTCCAGAATAAAATTTCAACTTGGTTTTTCACCAAAAAGAAAAAAAGATGATTCAACTTATTTTAAATAAATTCAGATTTGTGAAGCAAGCAGCAAAGAAATCATGAGTCTGACCTCAGAATCAGTAATTGGAAGATGGCAAGCAGGGCAGCGGAAGCATTTTGGGTGCCAGACTGCTCCCATGCAACTTAAAAATCTTCCATGGTCAATCTCAGTGTTGCACCCAGCACAAATTCTGCATGCAGATTTTACAGAACCAGGTTTAATCTTTGTTTTAGGTAAGAAAGATTCATGAAACTACAAAAAATAAATTTTACAGATGTCTCCTATATGGATCCACGTTGTTGCAACAGAGACAAGTGTTGTAATTTTCTTTGGTGAATATAAAAAACAATGCAAGATATTCTTTGCGAAGTGCTCACCAGACCATAAATAATACTAAATTAACCCCATTATAGAATGTTCCTTTAAATGACTACTCATTTCAACAAGTTCATCTAACTCAAAGGTACTTTAGAACAATAAGGAAAACTATCAGACACGAAGGTGTCATGTATAAAATCCCAATCAAGTATTTATCCCAGTTTAATTATTCAGACTATAATCTCTCCACAAAAGATTGACTGCCATATGTTAAACCCAAATCAGTTAGTTGGATAGCCTATCACTCAAGTATTTTTTGTTGATTCATTTTGGTAAGATACATAATCTCAAATTACAACACAACATAAAACATGAGAAGATTTTATCCATATCACACTCGTTGAAATGTTGCTTTGTATCTCTACGTAGATATATCAACAAAGGTAACAACACATAAAGACTAAAAAACATCCCCTTTCATGATATTTTTCTCACGCTTCATGTCATTGATTATTTTTTGAAAATAGGAGGAGCATAACTTTCCTCTTACTATTCCAAATTTTAGAAGATAAAATGATTCAAAATGTCATCCATGAGAGAGATAAAGCAAAAAGGGGTTAAGTGAAACAAGGGGAAAAACCAACAATCTTTAATCTCCATATGTACATTTCTGAGCTTAACTAAGCATAATTCAGAAATACTTAAAATTGAAGTTTCAAAACATATTCTGTTTGAAAAGATTTTTTTTTGGCACAGCCATTGCATTATTGTCCCTTTATTTAGTACGACTAGTGAACTTCAGCATGTTCCATAGACAGTAAATGGATTCACCTCCAAATAAAGATCTGATAATACCCAAATTACCTGCATCCAGGTGGAAAGAAGTGCGGAAAAGGTTGAAATAAAGGATCATTGTCATGTCGAGGAGGAGAACCAATGTTCAAACTCTCTTGAATTGCCCTGGCAAGTTGCTCATCTTCCTCAAGTTGAACTTTAGCACGATGTTCATCTTCAACCTGTTTAATTTTAGCAAGATATTCATCTTCATCTAGGTGAGCTTTACCAAGATGTTCATCCTCCTCCTCATCAATTATACAAAGTTGTTCATCTTCAGAAAGATAATCATCCTCTGGGGTATTATGAGGAAAAATACATGAGACATTTTCGATATGCTTTGGCATGGAAATAATGAATGTATTAACGGCATCCATTTCTGAACATATATATATATACCAAATGGAATGTCGGAATTTCTTCAATCTTCAATGGATAACCATAAGAAAAATATGTTAACCACTTGCAAATTAAGTGAAACAACAGAATCAAGATATCCCCATAATTCTTATATACATATTAAAATTATATTTTAAAGAAATCAAGAAGCTAAATGCAGTAATTTCAAATTTCATTTCATAACACCACTCTAATTACGATGTAAACAAAAGACTCAACGGATGGCATCATAGTCTTTGATCCATAAAACATAACTTACTTAAACAAGAATGAAGAAGACATTTAGATAAGCATAAAAAGACAGCAAATAATACAGGAGGTGTGCAAGATCTCGTAAAAATCAATGAACATTTTGGTTAGATTCAAAGTATGTAGTATAGGTACCTCAAATGCAGTATGATGGATCACTAATGGCATTAAATTTGAGACAAACTAACAAGCAAATGAATTTTTAACTACCAATGTGCAAAAGCATAAATCTTACGAATAACTTTTTTCCCTTTCTGATCCTCCTCTGCCAGAGAGAGTGCAATTGCACGGTCAATGTCTTCTTTCTCAATATCCGTCAATTCATCAGCCTGCACTCAGTTTGCCACTATTACAACTTTAGACTATCTCCTTAATGTTATGTTTGATTTGCTAAAAGATATGAAACTGCACAGCATAAAAAATTTGTAACTTTTGAAATAGTGGAAGTACCGGACTAAAAGCAGTTCCAGAGACAGCACAAAATTCTAAATTTTTGTTATTCACTAAACCAGGTTACAAATTTTGTCCACGGCACAAATAGAGGAAAAGACAAATAACCCCTACCCCTTCATTTTTTTAGCTCTATTGCGCAGAAAACAATGTACAACATAAGGGGTATTAAAATAAATTGTTATTCTATCAAGTATTTAAGGATATTAAACGTATATATTACAAACATTTTAATCTATGTGCATCGGTCATCAAACAGCTAATAACACAAAACATTGTCCACTAACTCAACCACTTGTGTTGTACTGTCCTTGTTTGTTTGTGTTGTTCCTCGATATGCATCAAATGCAGCCTAAGTCTAAGAGGAACCTGGAACCATGTTAGATTCATGCTACCATCAAGCTAAATTCAGTAAAAGGCTCGCTTAATGACATGATAATTTGTGACATATGACAATGATTTCAAATTCTTACTAGAAAAGAAAAACAAATTGATTACCGTTGAACTAAATTGATTATCCCAAATTCTGTCATCTCCGTGTCTGCCATGGTATTGTCCTCGTGAAATTACATGGTTGGTGTCCTCAAGCAACTTGTCAAACCAATCCATATCATGCAATATTATTCTCCTTCAGGTTGGCAAACCTTTTCCTGAAGAAAATATATTCAATAATTTATATAGAAGGAGAATCTACAGACTAATAAGCTCTTAAAAAAGTAAAGGCCAGGCTTTGAGTCCAAACTTCAAAATTCAAATGCAGCATGATAGTATCCCTAGACGAATTTTACCAGAATCAACAACTACAATATAATACACAAACAAATGTTACTGGAAAAACATTTTATGGTGCTCAGGTAATAGCAACAACAGAAATATGCAAAACGAAGAGCAGAGAATTGGGAATATAATGACCATCAGACCATGCCTCCTTTTTCTTTTTTTTATCATCATGTCTTCAAGGCACAAGAGAAAATTGAAGAAAGGGAAAACGAGTGAGACTGATAGAGAGAGATTCTCCACAACTGATATATACCGATTGTCAGAAAACTTGCAAGATACCAAAATCATCCGTTTCTAAAATAAAACAAAAGATGACAAGTAGAGTTCAGTATCTAATCTGTTGCATAAATAACTCACCGAAATGAAATTGCTTCAGAAGAAACACTCTCCACCAAAAGAGAACTTTCCAGAAAGAGATTAAGAATCTGCAGAGACAAGGAATCTGATGAATCCAAATTCAAGTACAATTCCCGAATCTCATTAATATGCATGGTCAGGAAGTTAAGTAAGAACCAGTCATAGAGGAACTAGTAGAGTACAGTAGTGAATAAAACCGGGTACCAGAATAGCTTTTGAGACCAAAAGAAAGAAAGAAAAGGCGAGAGGAGTACTTGGAATCTACGCAAAAGGGGTACAAATGAAAAAAAAGACAACAGTAGAATCTTTTTTTTTAGTAACAGGAGAGCTAAATTACCTTACAAGCCTTCCTTAAAATCACCAAAAAGACGGGTCGGGGGGATGAAGATAGGGAGTATCATTCAGAGAGGCTGATGAATTTCAGTGCATTGCCACTATCTCCATTAGCATGTGGGGTCCACTATTAATAACCCAGAAAGTTATAATTCTTACAAGTTTTGATATTCCATTGAGCTGTGATTTGTGGAAAAAGCCAACTGTTTCTGTGATGTGATTGTACTTTCTATCTCACTCTCTGGTTTGGTCCTCTTCAAATGAAGAGCCTTTTTTTCTCCACTTCTCGTCCTGTAATGCTCTTTTGCCACGTAATCGACATGGCTGCCATTTAACATCCCCAAAAAAATCTGTACTCTATTATTGCGTTTGGTTCGAGCATGAGTAATTGTCTAGTTCAGTTTGACTCTCTTTTTTCCATCCTTCTTATTCTTAATAAGTTAGGCTGATATGCTACTGCTGTATCTAAAAATTAAAATCAAAAATATTTTTTTTTTAAATTTTATTTTCGTGGATGTACATTCCGGTATTAATGAATTGTCTTTGCGGAATCAGAGTTGCATTTAGGCCATGTTTAGTGTATAATATTAGATAATGACTGATAGTATAAGATTTGATTAAATTTTAATACTATTCAGCATTTGGTATCATATTATATAAGATAATATCCTCCAATTGTTTAAAAATTAATATATTAAAAAAAATAATTTAATATAATAATATTAAAATGATATATTAGTTCTTGAAAATTGTACTTGTAAATAATATTAATACATCAATCTCTTATGAGGCTTAATCTACCCATTTAGGTCTGATTAAGTTATACATCATTTTGATGTATTAAGGAGTTCTGTTGTATAAGCTTATACTATACAATGGCCACACCAAACAACTGAAAATGTCATAACGTATAGTATAAACTTATACTATCAAACTTTATACATCACACCAAACATGCTTTTAAATCACTAACTCTTGCCTTTTCTTTTTTAACTCCGTTCAGATAACATTTTATGCAAACGAAACCTATGGATCATGAGATTCTTTTGTCTATGATATTTAATTATTTATACAACTTATTACAACACATGTAGTTAATGTAGACATATGTTCCTAAAGGAAGAAAAGGAGAATACCAAAATTCATTAATCATATTGTCGGCAAACCTTTTTCTTTCCATTAAATATTTTTGTAAGTACACATATATAAAAGAGAGCTGGTTTACATAGAAAGTGTTTCCATACCAGCCCCAGACAAGGTTCCGTGGGAGAGCACCACTCACTTGTCACACTAATTTTTCTCTTCATTCCTTTATGTTCGGCGCAAAATATTAATTGGGTCTTTTGTAACCGAACATAACATTAATTGGGTCTTTTGAAAAGGAAAGAATATATCTGCTAATCATTTTTTTCATGCTATTTTTCTACCGCTTTTTTATGATAAAATAAGATAAACACACTTTTTAATATGTTAGTTGCACGTCACGTGTAACTCATTGACATAAAAGATTATCCTTCATTGAAACTGATAAATAAAATTTAGAGAGAAAAATAAAAAAAATAATAACAACGCGAGTTTGTATTTTTTTTATCTGCAAGCAATATTAGTGTTTCAAAAAAAAATGCATAAACCCCTGCATATCTCTCAATTTATTTTTATTCAAAGTTGTTCAATTTTGTTTTTTCGTGCAAGAAAAAGAGAAGTAACACATCATTTATTCAAATTAAGAGAGTAATTTGAGGTTGAAAGGTGTGTCTGATTTGATTTTTAAGCAAACACCGTAATAATGCACGACCCTTTTTCTCGCCTCGTGGATCCATGCTCCAACAGCTCTCACATCCCTTTTCAAGCAAACACCGTAATAATGCACGACCCTTTTTCTCGCCTCGCGGATCCATGCTCCAACATCTCTCACATCCGAGGAGGGATATTCTCAAAATTTTCTACTACTAACTTTTTACCTATCTAATCATCATTAGATTAATATTTTTTCTTTTTAAAAAAACTTTTTAACATTCTCTCTTTAATCCAATGGTGATACGATGGGTAGTAAGTTAGTAGTAAGAATTTTTGATAGTTAGAATATCGTCACTCTTTCTTAATATCTGTTAATTATAGGATTTCATATATAAAATTGAATGAACAAGGCTAAAGATAGGTCTAGATTCAAGTCACTGAATGCGAAACCGCCCTCCCTAGCCACTAGGTGATGTAAACTCACAATCACAATGTCCCGGAGCTGGCCACATAATGGGTTCTGACGTAGGTTAGATTGTTTTTTTTTTCAGATATTAAACCATATAAACAGTAAACCCATTTGCTTTGATGACGTTATGGCCTATGAACCTTTCTAAGAACGAATATGTGGCTGTGGGTGAAGATAAAGTAGCACCAAATACAAAGAATTTGTAAATTTTTGTATGTCTCAGGTCATTAGATGAATAAGCAGAAAACATTTTTAAGGGATTTTTTTGGGGTAATTTGTCTTAGTTTGATGGCAAGTCATATGCCTATATACAATATGCATAGATCTTGGAGAATACCCAACCATTTTCCCTTGTTAAGGGTAAAAATACAACGTCACAGATCTCTTAAAAAAAATGTTGATTTCCTGTGCTGATTGGTTAGCCAAGTCTGTTCTTCACAAAGATACTGGATTCTGGAGTCATAGAGTTATGCCGTTTCACCTTGCTCAGTTATTTGATCACGATCTTCAGGGAATCTCCTCTTATAGGGGTATAGACCCTGGATAGTTATTTTTTGTTTCTGGTTGTTAGTTTGTTTTTGTTTGGGGCTTCGCCCCTTAATGTTATCAAAAAAAAAAAAAAAAAAATGTTGATGTCAACGCATTTGTTTCGGCACATTATGATCGTAAATTAGTAATTGAATTCATACTTAATAAATTTACATAGTACCAAAATAATCAATTGAAAAAATAAAGCATATTGTATACATAAATGGGGCCTGCAAAAATCTATTTCGAGAGGAGCACCAACCACTTGCCTAACGCATTTACCAGCACCACTATTTTAAGCTTTTCCACTAGAAACCAAACACTTCAAAATGACAACTGTCATCTTCTACGTGAGAGTGAAAGCTTTTTCATTATATATTTCATTTTGTTTCTTTCATCATTATGCTGCGTTTAAAGAGCCAATTTTTTTGTTTATCCTGCATTTATGTTTTTTATTTTGGAAAAAATATTTGTCCTTTTAAATGACATAATTTATATTATTTCATTCTCATAAAGAGGTGAGACTCATACTTTTATTTTTTTTTTGTCTATTCTCTCTCTCTTTATCTATCTCTTTCTCTCACTTAAAATGATATAACTTAACATCCTTTAAAATAATACACACTTTTTTTTATTTTTAATAGTCTCACGTGCCAATAATATTTTAAGGAATTAATATTTTTTATATTATATGAGGTAAAATTATCTTTTATACATATATAAAAAGATACAGGATTCATGAAAAGTCATATAAAAAGAAGAAGAAAAATAAAAATATAAGTCCACATACTTTCATATAAATATATATATATATATATATATATAAAAGAAATAATTTTATTTTCTACTCTATAAAGACACAATAATTCCATATTTTAAACACATAAATATACATACTTTACATCCCCCGGTGTTGTATAAATGCAAACAATTAAGAAAAATTATCAAAGACATATCATATATAATTTAACGTGATTCGATCCAACATATTTATATTTATAAATAAGAAGATCTAATTTTCCAACAACAAAAATAAAAATAAATAAGAAGATCTACAGTGAAAATAAAATTACAAGATAATAAATATAGAGATGAAGATAAATTAACACCGAATACAAATTAATGAAATTATATACATGCTGCCTATGTAGCATCGATATTGACACGGGACACGAGACACGATACGACACGACACTCTAACGCGTTAATTCTAAAAAATGCTAGATTTTGACACGTTAGGACACGTTTTGATATTAAATATTATTTTTAATTTATGTAATGTATATTATATTTAATACTCAATAATTTAACAAAAAAATGAAGTTAAACTTATAATACTCATCAATTTTGTAAAGAAACATTAAATATCCCAAATATTTATGTTAAACTCAATAAAATAGTAATCGTAATCCAACGAATCTAATAATTGGAACTAAAAACGCAACGCAACACAACCTTTGAACTTTTTTTTGAGTCTCTACAACGCATGTTGAAGTGTCGAAGAATGTCGGAGTGTCGGGAAGTGTCGGACACGACACGTCAAGGCTTTTGAAGTGTCGGTACTTCATAGCATGCTGCTATATTAAAAATTTTCTTGTAAATGAATATATCATTTACATGCAAAATATTCTTTTCAGATATTCTTATGTACTGTAAGAATATTATATCATTTTACAAAGAATGTAATATTTACTACTGCATAATTATATACAGTTCCTTTGAATAAAAAAAACTAATTTAAATTTAAATGGTTACAAAACTGTCAAAGTATTATTCCGGGAATATATAATCCATATTGTTAATGTACCATTTTATCTATCTTATTTCAATTCAATAAAATATAAATAAATAGTGAAATTTAACTCATCGTTTTTTTTTTTTTTTGGAAATAATAGGAAATTAAAACAAAAACACAACAAAAAGAAACTAGGCACAAAGCCTAGACCAGTGAACACCTATAGTGTCACCATACAGACTATCAATACAACCTGACGGTGGACAATCAAATTCCTGAATTACCCAAGAGAAACCATAAGAGTAAGAGGCTAGAAAGTCCGCTACTCTATTTCCTTCACGGTGAATGTGAGACATATAAATCTGTCAATCTCGCTGCATCAAATTTCGAATACGATTCACCAAATTAGCCGCAGGGTAATCATGGTGGCACCCATTTGTAATGAGCTGTTGAGCTGAAAGAGAATCTCTTTCGAGCCAAACTTGCCTAAAACCTCTATCCCAAGCTAGCTCCAAACCAACCAAGCAAGCCCATAACTCAGCATGCAAAACTGTACCTGAGCCTAAATTTTTACAGAATCCGACGATCCAAGTTCCTGAGGCATCGCGAAAAACTCCTCCACACCCAGTCCTAGTACCATTAGCATCACATGCACCACCAACATTAAGCTTAACCCAATCCACAGGAGGACA